ACACACACACACACACACACACACACACACACACACACACACACACTCTCTCTCTCTCTCTCTCTCTCTCTCTCTCTCTCTCTCTCTCTCTCTCTCTCTCTCTCTTAAGGAATTGTTTCTGAGCCTAATACAGCACTTGTAGCTCTATAGGAAAAAGTCAATGCTAGGCAGTCACTGTTTCTCAGTCTCCATTGTCATGGTATGATGTAATTTTTTATCTCAATCAGCCTTGAGAAGCTGAAAGCTATAGTGATCTAAACACTTAATGAAAGCTCTTTCTCTATTCTTTTAAACTATATAAGTTAGTGTGGTCTCTAATTCAATAGATATTTGCAGATAGATCAGAATACTTGATGAAAACTTAGCTTGGTAATATTTTGCTAGAAGAAAAATATTTGTAGAAAAACTTGTGCCACATGATTACAGTCTTGTATTTTTTTTTTTTAAAGCATTAAAAAAAAAGAAATGTGAAATTCATGTATGTATGTAAATCAACATATATAACAAGTTTTAAACTTATTGTGTGGGTGTGTCTCGTGTATGTATGTATGATTAACAGTTTAAGAAACCTGAAACCTGTTTTGTTGTATGTCTGTGACTGAATACACTGAAACTGCTTGTGGCATTTTTGAATTAAAACATGAAATTTAGTTTTATAAGGTAAAATCTGTTGAAGTTTTACAATACTATAGGAAGAAATGAAAAGTCTGTAATTAAAATCTGATCTTTTTAATTGTTTCTTAAAAAATGTATCGCAATGAATTTGAAGCCATTAAATTTTCTAAACTATGAATTTGTATCTCATTTAAAAATAATGTATTTATTTGCAGAAGCCACATAAGCTATAGACAGTTCATCTCAGGCTTAAAACTATTTCATCTAGTAGAATTAATTTTTCAATTTAATAATGATAATAATAATAAATTAAATAAAAAATAACAAGCAAATCATCAGGTTAGGTTAGAACTTGCAGTTGAATTTTGTTGAACAGTATGTTTAACCAAAGTGACTACTATCCTGTAATTCATTTAGTTTTCTTTTTAAATTTATAGTTAAAGTTTGACTCATCATTTTGCAAAAAAATGATTAAATTTATTAGTTTTTTTTTTTTCAAATTATTGAGCTCACTTTAGAGGTATACTTGGCTTTCTCACATTTTTATTTTAAATAGCAACTATTTTTTTTTTTTCTTAACTAGGATTTTTTTTTTGGAATTTATAACAACATACTAACCTTTCCATATTGAACTATTATTATTGTTTTGGTAATATCTATCACATAAATACAAATAAAATACAGTTAAACAGCTGATCATCTACATTTATTATATCCATCATGCTTAAGCATATCAGACATGTTAAGGCACTGATTTTGACACATTTGTAAGTGTTCTCAATAAAATATCACAATTTTGATTTGCAAAATTCTGTAACTGATAGCCATGGAAAAGAAAAAAAAATGGTTATATTAGCAATCAACAGCATGAACATTTGTAAGTTGTACTTGCATTAACATTTTGCGAGTTCCACTATAAACCTAATGTATTTCAGAGTAGATACATGTGTACATTTTTGTTCCATATCCAAATATTATTGAGAGGAAAATCACATCCATAAATGTATTTATACTCTATGTGAGAGAAGTAATTTCATATTATTCAATAAAGTATTCTATGTATGTAAAGGTCATACCACCACCAATTGTTGATTAATTCAATAAAAAAAAAAAGGTTTTTATAGGTAGAAATCTCTCCTATAAAAGTGATTGTACACTTTTAGGCAGGAGGAGTTGCACCTAAAGAGATGGCTGTGTATGAAGAATTTGCTCGCTGTATTCCTGATTTTCTTCCTAGCCATGAAAGGAATTTACTTTTGGCATATATATCGAATCCACTTCAAGTACGTTTATATAATTATTTAGTGAAATAGGTTTAAAACTCTTAACAACATAAATCTCTATGTTTATCAATATTTTGTTCTAGTAAATCAAGGCTTATGAAAATGCAGAAGAAAGCCCTATGTGTAAGCTAAACCTTTTGAAATTATATTTTTGGAGATCATTGGATGCTAGAATGTATTTTCAAGAAAAAATCTTAAAACCCTGCTAACTAAACTCAAGTGAGATAGCTGGCTGTAGAAAAAAAACAAAACAAAAAACTGATATTCATTCGTTATTTATACAAACCAAATTGAATTACAGCTAATAGTATTATTTCATGGGCTATAAAGATGGAAATAACATTTAACAGTATTACACCAAATTAAAGAGCATACATGTTTCATAAATGTTACCATTTAACATTTGTTTCAATAATATGAGTTAGAATCTTTCTCAGTGATAGAATATTAAACCTCCCTGTTTGTGTTGTTAAAGTTATCAAAAATTGCTATAAAATTAATACTGTTGTCTAATCTTTGTTATTGTAGACAAGTCCTAAAATTGCTGTTATGAATCTACTATATCATTCTAGAGATGCTGTAACTAAATAAAAATAAAATTCACATAATAAATATTGGTAGTACATTATATGAAACACAAAAAATAGTTACCTTAAGAGGTGACTATCACAGATAACCCTTGTGTAGCATTGTACAAATATCCAAAGTAGAACAAACTTTGAACACCTGTAATTATTTATTTTATTCAACTTTAGAAAGGTGAAAGCATTTTGATCTTTCATGGATAATGAATTTTCTATTTTATTTTTAGAAGTTAAGTGTTACCTAACTTACTACACATGCACAGCTGTATATTAAGCATCTTTTTAATACTGAATGTTTCCAACAGTTTTTTTTTCTTCTTCTCAGACACAGGTTAGTCAACTTTTCTATACTGATGACATCAAACATATCTGTGAAAAGGTGATAGCTGAGCTTGATCGCTACGTTCAGGGTTTGATGGCTATTCCAGCAAGTCAACAAGCTGCAGCCCTTTATAGTCTGAGAGAAGAAGTGTTTCTGCTTCGAAGTTCAAGAGACAAGACTACTGCTCTTTCTCTCATCCAGAAGGTGGTCACCCATTTCATTAAATATACTTACAAGCTTTAATTATTTGTGTATTAAGTATAGAATATGAAAATGCCCATTAGGTACAGTTGTATTCCCATGTGTATTGAATGTTAATTTTTAACAACTACTTGCACTATTTTGTGGGGGGGGGGGGGTATATTAACTGAACAAAAAATTCTGTTGACATTTTTAAAATTTATATCTGACAATTTTATAAGCTATGTCAAATTTGATGTATCGTAGCATCTTTCATTTAAAAAGAAAAATTACTTGTGGTCAGACTATATCTTGAGTCACACTTTTTTTTTCTCGGGGTTAAAAATAAGCAAAACATTATTGCATCATTCTCATCCTCAATTGTAATATTGTGTCATTGTTGGGATCCTACCTTTGTGATGCTTTGAACCGAATTGTCATCCTGGTCGTTGGTGGAGGTTTGAACCTGTTGTGCATCACCTTCTATAGCTGCTCTTTGCATTGTATGTGCAAGTAGCTATGAAATATCTTGTGTATAGAATGGTTTTTATACAAATTTGTCTAACCCAGGTTCAAAGCTGGAAGCAGGCAGAACTTTGGCAATCTGCTTATTTGGTGCATCACAGGAAACTAATTCTGGTACTGTCCATGACAAATTTTTTGGTGAGTGATCTCTGACCTTTCTATGTATAATTTGGTATAAGAGTCCAGAGAAGGATTATTCACTAATGGTGTGTCAATGATGGTATTCTGGCATAGTAGTCTGTAGTCTGTATATTGTCTTGCTTTTGTGGTACTTGGATGATCTGTTACTTGTGCATCCATCTCAAAGGACTTGCCTTGTCAGGTCAAATCTGTGGAAGAAATTATATTATATTTTAGAAATAAGTGCATTTTGTTTCACTTATCACTGTGTTCTTAAATATTTTATGCTTAATTAATAGTCAGTTTGCCTAAATTTCTGGCAGGTCCTGAAACTCAAAATAAGTATAGTCATTAGGTAACCTTTATTTCATGTTATAAATATGCAGTTTTGCCAGTTGAACTCCATAGCAAATGTAGTTATCTTTCAGTATACCTGGAAAAAATCTTAACTGTATACAACTAATACAAGCATCCAGTTTCTTAACACACAAATCATTTATATAATGCTTATGCTGGAAACTAATACTATTTTGCAGACTTGTGATGTTTTTGTCAAAAATCAGTGTTGACCTTTAACCTTAGCTCAGGGTCAATAAAAGCAATAGAAAAAAAATGGCAACATCATTTTTCCTGTGACTAAGACCCTACAGAATGCACTTATAATGGTTGCCAAAAATTATCATGTAATAACACTAGAAAAAATCTTTCACATTACCCCCCCCCCCCTCCTCCTTTTGTAAAGTCAGAAACCAAATTTAACTACTGACACAGCTGGATATGAAAAAAATATTGATTTTCAGTTCTGTTATATCACAAACATTTGTTTTGTTTAAATAAAAATTTGTCATTTATTTCCAGACTGTAGACAGCTTTCTAAAAGGAATGACTCAACATCCCTCTCTTTCTGAAACTGCTAATTATTATCGTGATGGTCATCTGCTTGTTTTGAAAGCACTCGTTTACCACAGGACATTTGGTATTCAGTGGACTGTCAAAAATGTTACTCAAGCACTGATTAGATGCCATGAAAACTACAGTTTCAACTTTGAAGGCTTAGATTGTCTTATCCAAAACCACTTGGTCAATGTGCCTGTTTATGATCTACATCTTGCACAGGTAAACAGTAGATTAAGAACATCAGATTTTAATTTACTGTAAATTTGGAAAAAACATATTTGAAACTATTTGTTTTTTTTAAATGGGAATACTTTGATACATTTAAGATTTTTTTTGATTTTTTTTATAAACTCAAACATTAGTTTAGTGAGGAACTTAGTGATTGATTAATTCAATAATACAATAAAATCAACTTTTATAGTGGAGAAATTCTAATTTTAATTATTACAATGTTTTGTCCCATAGTATTAGGTCAAAATCAGATACAAGCTGTTTTACTGAATACAACTTTTATCTGAGAGAAGAACATTACAGGCTCTTAATAATGAGTAGAAAGTTTGTAGGTGTTTTGAATTAATTTTCTTTTAGTTAAATGAAGTAGATAACATAGATAAAGTTGGTGTTCCTGAATATTTGTCTAGCATTGGCTTTGACTTTTACCATTAGTGCAGTGAACATAATTTCTGTTTGAATCAGTTAATTTTAGTTCCAAAATTTTACCAATTCTTGTTTTGAACATTTTAAAATTGTTATAAAAAAAACATTAAAGAATGGAAGTTAAAAATCATTTTTAATTGCATAAATTTCATATGTATCACAATGAGTAAAACAGTTTCTAATACCATACTAGTGAGTATCCAGATCTTTTGAACAAGCTACCTGGTGTCTATTTTTTAAATTGGGAAAATAGCAGAGCTTTTCTTTGAAGTATTCTATTTTTATTTAGACAATGGAAGGTGGATTGAGCTACCATGCTGTGGCATTTGCTATGCAACTAGTAAAACATTATATTGTGGATAAATATCATGATGGATTATTTTCAATGGTAAGTGTTGTTTAAGAAGTAAATGCAGTTATAATAATTTACATGGTCTTAAAGACAATAATAATATATATGTATAACTTGTATCATCATTACTAGCTCAATGCTATTTCCATTAATAAGAGTACAACAGCATTTTGGTTAAACATTGTTTATGAAATACTGCTTTTTGAAGAGATCTTTCTCTAATACCAGATCTCATCAGGCTGATAGGATTTCAAAATTCAGTTTTAAACAAAACTAGCTGATGGTACTCATTAAGGAAACACAAACATTATATAAAGAACTGTTAGATAATGTTCCCCTCCTTTTGTTATTAAATCCCTAATGATCTCATTTTCTTTAAAATTCAAAGCCAAAAGTCTATTCCAAAAAAAAAGAGGCCATTTTCAGGAGGTGTTTTTACTCTCATTTTTGGGCAAAAAAACAATAAGCCATTGTACAATGTTGGACAGTTTACTGTTACCATACCAAGAATTGTGGATATTGAGCCAGCCAATGCTAGATGATTATGTAATAAAATATTTTGATCCTATTTTTGGTTTTTGTTACACCTGTCTTAGTAGCATATAAGCTTGCTAGGAGCACACAAACTTTGAAATGTGTATATAAGTTTGAGTATAATACAAAATATAACTACTCATATTAAATATAGATGATGTGAAAAGTATAATTGTGTGTATTTCTGTAAAGCAAGTGTGGGTGAAGGTTTATTTATTTTTTTATACATACAGTAATGGAATGATCCAAGCAATACACATAAAGGAGTCAAACAGCATGTAACAGCACCTAGGTACAAAACCATTAACACAGAAAATACAAAGAAGCCCAATCTGTACTGTACATTACTAAGTTATGCGAGGTCTTTGCTTAAAACATGGTTTATCAATTCACAATTGTATAATATTATTTAACATGTCCTGCATTATATCCCATAATTCAGCAATGCTGTTTGGTCACCCTTTGACCTTTCCAGCTTTTACATACACTCATACAACTTTAATATTTAAACTTTGTGTAAGCCAAACCATGGTTTTGAGTTTTCCATAAGCCTCTTTGTAGTCAATATATGGTTTCATTTTGTTGCTGGTAGATGAATCACCACCCAATGGGTCATATTCCTGAGGGAATGACATGATGGATTAGACTGTGTGTGTACTTGTCAGCAGTGAATATGCAATCAATTTTGTGTAATAACTAACACTGTTAGCTGAGATGCAGTCCAGGCCTGTATTGATGCTTCATAAATGTTGTTCATCAACTGTGATTTTATTCTCTTCTCCACTATTAAACAAACTGTTTTGTTTGTCACCAAATAATGTAATTTTGAATTTATGAGTAAAGATGACACATCTACAGTTTTGCTTATTCCACTGTTTAAGGTCTAATACCCATTTCAACCTTTTGATTTACTTGCATCTTATCAGTAGTGGTTTTTCAGCAGCTACAAGTCCACTGAAACCATTTGGTGCTAAAATATTTCTTACTGTTCAGAAGGTAACGTTCTCACTTGTACTTACAGCTTAGTCGTTGGCCAAGTCTGTACTTGACCATCTTCTGTCTCATTAAAAAACGCACATAAGATGCTTAACATGATGTTAGGAAAGTTTTGGTTCTCTACACTGACAACTTTTATTATCAGTACTAGTTTCGCTTGTTTATTCAGTCTTTCGTAAAGCTTGTACTGGAGTTTTGCATGGAGTAAACTTTGCAAGTAAGCTTTGATTTCTACATGCTTTTCACCCAGTATTTGTCCTAGGAACCATGATTGGAATCTCTCACTACTACTCAGCATAAAATGACTGCTTGAATTTTTTAGGCGTTTTACTGGTGTGGAACTTTCTGATTGATTCAGTGACAATTGCTCACAGATGGCTTTTCTGGTGCATTTAATTCTCACAAATTAAAGGGATGTCATATACCTTAAGTTTTGCCTTCTACACTTTTTCTCATTATTTTCATAAATATTTCCATTACTGTAACTGTCAATCAGGATTTAGCAAATTTTATGTAACTGTATTTGGTAATTTTGCAGGGTGATCTTCATAATACAATGGAATTACTTGTTCACATTGCTACTTATTCAAGACAACCACCAGAAGGGTAAGTATTCAATAGTTGTTGTAAATTAGATTAGTTTAATATACAGTTGCTTATTGTTTTGTGTTGTTGATTAGTGTGATGTAATAATTTGCCATTCTTAACAGACACCAGTTTTAGTATTAAAAGGCAGCCATAATAGGCTCTTAAGAAATTCTTACGTAAAGTAGGCTAAAGATATAAATTGGAACTAAGGAAATAGATTAATGAAGTTAATTGTGTATAATAAACTGAATACAAATACGTAATGTCAGTAAATTTAATACTCAAACTTTGTTTGACATGGATTATTTTTGGCTGATTCTTCATGATTTAATAGTATAATGTTATTTTGATTTTAGTAGTTATGTAATTGCTCAGTTTTAGTTGAGTTTGGTCTATCTCTTGCGGTAATTGGAGTTTGGGGAAGAAAAGAAAGTTTATAGCAACCAGAAATTTAGGCATGAGTATTCAAAATGTTCAATATTTTATCATTCTCAAAGGGTATGAATTATACAACATGTACATCTTGTGTTTGTGATTCTCCATTGCTCACGGAGGTGAAAATGATAATAAAAAAAAGTCTCAACACAACTGAACCCCACCAAAATTCTTCAAGGACATCTGGAATTAATAAATCTGGAACTGTTTTTTTGTTTTGTAAAACCTGATACTAAATCAGAAAATGATCTGATTATAGCAGAATGTTTATTCACCTCCTTTGTTGTGGAATACAATTTTCCTTTGGTGTCAGATCATGCTTCAAAAAAGTTTTACCAAAATGTTTCTGGATTCGGAAATCGCTAAAAGATATGGATGCTCTAGAACCAAAACCTCTGCAATAGTTCGAGAAATGGCCAGCAGTGCAACTGAGCAAACCGAGTATCATTAAAACAGGGCTTTCAACCTGTCCACTGATGGCAGTATTGATGTTGACAGTAAACTCTAACCTATTGTAGTGACAATCTTTGAAAAGGAAACTGTAGTAAATGCTTTACTTTATAATCCCAAGTTAATGGAAAATCAACTAACGGGAATATTGCAAGACTCATTCAAGAAGAACTAGCCTCAAAGTCCTTAAAGTGAGAAAATTGTGTATCATTAGCTGTTGACAGCACAAATAAATAATATATCACCTCCTTCATTTGGCAGCAGAAAAAGCAGCAAAGAAGTTGCAATATCAGTTTGATGAAATTCTTGTTCACATTGATTACTATTTGAACAAGAGTGCAAATAGGAAACAAGATCTTAGAGAATTCCAGAATCTGCGATGTGAAGACTCAAACTATTCTGAAGCGCATATATATATATATATATATATATATTCATATGCTTCCTGTCTTTTGGAAAATGCTTCTACAGGTTAATTGAACAATGGAGATTTTTAAGGCAAAAAAATTGCAGCCAAAAATTATAAAAAAAAAAAAATAATAAAATAAAATAAAATAAAAAAAAGATGAAGAGAAATATAAAAAATCCATGTTAAGGCAAAGTCTGTTTTATGCAGATCAGTGGAGAAAGAGTAAGTGTTTAGAAAAAAAAATCGAAGCAGAGGCAGTCTGTCAATGTGTTCTCTGGGCAAGGATCTGGATCTTTTGTAGATGGTTTCTCTAAGAATGTTGCCTACAAAATTGCAAAGGCAATTGAGAAGATGCAGGACACACCTGACATATCACCAGGAAACATTTGTGAGAAGAAAGACTTTACAAGTTACTTACATCAAGTAGATGTATTGTATGTGTATTATTTCTGAACAATTGTATTCAAATCTTTGACATATATCATTTGAAACTAGTCTAAGGACCCACTCATCCATTGCTTGTGGAGAATCCTGTTTCCTATATTCAAAGACTTGTTTAGCAGACTTGTGACACTACATGCAATTTTGAATTGTGCAAATGTTCTGGATTTGAATTTCAAAGACAGAAAACTAAGTTCTCATTTCTTTAAACTGAAATTATGATGTTAAGCCTTTCCTTACGAAGTTTAACAAAGGAAGCCAGCTCTTTCTATCAAAATGTAAGAAATTACTATGAAATTGCATTGGAATATATAAAGGGCAAGTTTTTACTTCAGGACACAACTTTGAAACATGTGAAAGTAGCAGACATATCTATCAGAAACAATTGTTTTTTGGAATTGGTAGAGTACTTTGTTGGAAAATTCAAGGAATGCACCTTAGGACAAGTACAATGAATTGTATTCAGCAGCAATTTCTCACCTAACAGGCTGATCCATTGACTGGTGTAGATCTCAATAAGCCAGCAAACAAGTGTTGGTATAATATTGAAAATATGAATGATGAGCTGGTTAACTTTAAATATGGTAAACTCTCTGAAATAATGAAGTCTATCCTTGTAATACCACACAGCAATGCAGGTTTGACAGGGATTTCTCACTTGTTTGCAAAAATAGGACAGTCTTTTGAGGATCAATATCAAACTTCATCTAAAAATTAGTGCTGATTTTAGAAGTTGGAATTCTCATGTTGTCTAAGTACAAGTACTGAATTTTAATATAGGTTTCCCATTTTTAAATGTTAATTTCCCTTTGAAATTTGATGAAAAAAATACTTAACTATTTAATCAAAAGTTGAAACATTTGTTATTAACTTTTATTTTCATATCAATCACATTAATAAAATTAAATATATAAGCTTCGAAATTAATAGATTATAAAGGTCAAGCTTTCTTAAGGGTCTAATTTGATGTTGCCTGTGTTCTGAGGCAAATTTCTCTGAATACGTACAATACACAAACATATGATAATTTCTAAATGATAGACGATGGACATAACACAAACTCAACATATATATGTTTGGAAAGCTAAGTTTTCATCAAACCAAGGAAATAAACAATGTTGGTGTGTTAAAAAGTAGAATGTCGCCAGCAGACAAATTTAATTTCAAACAAATAACTCAAATACAAATTGTAAATATCACTCAAACCTTTATCGTGATTAATTAGAAAACATTTAAGTTTTGAAAATTTATTAGATGATTGGCCCATTACTTTTTCACATATAAAACATATATAAAGTAATATGTTGCTGTAATCATGTTTCCCTTTACAGTTGTTTATTTTCAAGATAATAATTAAACATTTTTGAATAGATAAATAAAAAATCTTAGTCTAAAATATATCCAGGAAGTATATATAATTTGATTTGATCATACCTCGAACACAGGGTATCAAAAGATATTTTGGGTATGTCCACTTGGACCTTGTAATAAAATTAGTTTTTTTTAAGTATATGATCTTCTTTACATTTATCTAGTATAGATATCAAATTATCTCATTTTATTATATTGTTATACACAACAGCCAAGACACATGTTGTTATCAATAACTGAAAGGGTAAGAGTAAATTGCATTATTCAATAATAATCACTGAACATGAAATTGCGTGAACTCCTTTACGTGTTCTTCTTTACTTCAGTTTTGCATCTGAGGGGAATGTATAGAGTGCATAATTCTTTTCCTGCCATATTTGGTTTCCACCATGTGCATATGATTAAGGTAGGGTGGATTAGAAATGTATTAGTCACAATCAACTCATTTTCCTGCAAGAAAAGTCCTCTAAAGTGGATAACATAACAGGTGCATATTTCTTTAACTGTATAACTAACATTCAAATGGTGAGTGATAGTTTTAGGTTTAAATGACTGATAAATTACAAAGCTAAATCTGTGAGCAATAATTAGGGGTCTATTTATAAAAACAGATAATTGGGGGACATGGTGAGATGCATGTAAAGGAGTTCACAGAATGGGTATAGGAGATCACCATTTTAATTCAACTCCTTATATATGCTTTGCACTTCTTAATATAATGCCACATTATAATAAAAGCTTGCTTTTATGATCTATGGAATAGTCTAATACAGAATGACTTATTAGCCTACTATAGCTGGATTTACTGTAGAAATGTAAAGGGGATCATATTTAATTTCTACATCTGTCTTTGCTAATATACAGAGGTGGTATGCATTTCAATGATTGTTTACCATCCATTCTGAAAAATACAAATATGAAACCAGACAGCAGCTGATATATTACCA